ACTGCAGAAATACAAAGGATCATGAGAGATTACTACAAGCAACTATATGCCAATAAAATGGGCAACCTGGAAGAAATGGACAAATTCTTAGAAAAGCACAACCTTCTGAGACTGAACTAGGAAGAAATAGAAAATATAAACAGACCAATCGCAAGCACTGAAATTGAGATGATTAAAAATCTTCCAACAAAAAAAAGCCCAGGACCAGATGGCTTCACAGGCGAATTCTCTCAAACATTTAGAGAAGAATTAACACCTCTCCTTCTCAAACTCTTCCAAAATATAGCAGAGGGAGGAACACTCCCAGACTCATTCTACGAGGCCACCATCACCCTGATACCAAAGCCAGACAAAGATGTCACAAAGAAAGAAGACTACAGACCAATATCACTGATGAACATACATGCAAAAATCCTCAACAAAATGCTAGCAAACAGAATCCAACAACACATTAAAAGGATCATACACCATGATCAAGTGAGATTTATCCCAGGGATGCAAGGATTCTTCAATATATGCAAATCAATCAATGTGATACACCATATTAACAAACTGAAGAATAAAAACTATATGATCATCTCAATAGATGCAGAAAAAGCTTTCAACAAAATTTAACACCCACTTATGATACAAACTCTCCAGAAAATGGGCATAGAGGGAACCTACCTCAACATAATAAAGGCCATATATGACAAACCAACAGCAAACATCATTCTCAATGGTGAAAAACTGAAAGCATTTCCTCTAAGATCAGGAACAAGGCAAGGATGTCCACTCTCACCACTATTATTCAGCGTAGTTCTGGAAGTCCTAGCCATGGTAATCAGAGAAGAAAAAGAAATTAAAAAATACAAATTGTAAAAGAAGAAGTAAACCTGTCACTGTTTGCAGATGACATGATACTATACATAGAGAGTCCTAAAGATACCACCGGAAAACTACTAGAGCTAACCAATGAATTTAATAAAGTTGCAGGATACAAAATTATTGCACAGAAGTCTCTTGCATTTCTATACACTAATGATGATAAATCTGAAAGAAAAAGTAAGGAAACACTCCCATTTACCATTGTAACCAAAAGAATAAAATACCTAAGAATAAACCTACCTAGGGAGACTAAAGAACTGTATGCAGAAATCTATAAGACACTGATGAAAGAAATTAAAGATGATACAAATAGATGGAGAGATAGATATACCATGTTCTTGGATTGGAAGAATCAATATTGTGAAAATGACTCTACTACCCAAAGCAATCTACAGATTCATTGCAATCCCTATCAAATTATCAATGGCATTTTTTACAGAACTAGAACAAAAAATCTTAAAATTTGTTTGGAGACACAGAAGACACCGAATAGCCAAAGCAGTCTTGAGGGAAAAAAATAGAGCTGGAAGAATCAGACTCCCTGACTTCAGACTATACTACAAAGCTACAGTAATCAAGACAGTATGGTACTGGCATAAAAACAAATATAGCTCAATGGAACATGATAGAAAGCCCAGAGATAAACCCATGCACCTATGGTCAACTAGTCTATGACAAAGGAGGCAAGGATATACAATGGAGAAGAGACAGTCTCTTCAATAAGTGATGCTGGGAAAACTGGATAGCTACATGTAAAAGAATGAAATTAGAACACTCCCTAACACCATACACAAAAAAAACTCAAAATGGATTAGAGACCTAAATGTAAGACCAGACACTATAAAACTGTTAGAGGAAAACATAGGAAGAACACTCTTTGACATAAATCACAGCAAGATCTTTTTTGACCCACCTCCTAGAGTAATGATAATGAGAACAAAAATAAACAAATAGGACCTGATGAAACTTAAAAGGTTTTACACAGCAAAGGAAACTGCAAACGATATGAAAAGACAACCCTCAGAATGGGAGAAAATATTTGCAAATGAATCAGCAGACAAAGGATTAATCTCCCAAGTATATAAACAGCTCATGCAGCTCAATATTAAAAAAACAAGCAACCCAATCCAAAAATGGGCAGAAGACCTAAACAGACATTTCTCCAAAGAAGACATACAGATGGCCAAGAAGCACATGAAAAGCTGCTCAACATCACTAATTATTAGAGAAATGCAAATCAAAACTACAATGAGGTATCACCTCACACCAGTTAGAATGGCCATCATCAGAAAATCTACAAACAACAAATGCTGGAGAGGGTGTGGGGAAAAGGGAACCCTCTTGCACTGTTGGTGGCAATGTAAATTGATACAGCCACTATGGAGAACAGTATGGAGGTTCCTTAAAAAACTAAAAATTGGGGCTTCCCTGGTGGCGCAGTCGTTGAGAGTCCGCCTGCCGATGCAGGGGACGCGGGTTCGTGCCCCTGTCTGGGAAGATCCCACATGCCGTGGAGCGGCTAGGCCTGTGAGCCATGGCCGCTGAGCCTGCGCGTCCCTAGCCTGTGCTCTGCAACGGGAGAGGCCACAACAGTGAGAGACCCGTGTACCCAAAAAAAAAAAAACAAAAAAAACTAAAAATTGAATTACCATATGACCCAGCAATCCCACTACTGGGCATATACCCAGAGAAAACCATAATTCAAAAATAGACATGCACCCCAATGTTCCTTGCAGCACTATTTACAATAGCCAGGTCATGGAATCAACCTAAATGCCAATTGAAGGACGAATGGATAAAGAAGATGTGGTACATATATACAATGGAATATTACTCAGCCATAAAAAGGAACGAAATTGTGTCATTTGTAGAGACGTGGATGAATCTAGAGACTGTCATACAGAGTGAAGTAAGTCAGAAAGAGAAAAACAAATATCGTACATTAACGCATATATGTGGAACCTAGAAAAATGGTACAGATGAACCGGTTTTCAGGGCAGAAATTGAGACACAGATGTAGAGAGCAAACGTATGGACACCAAGGGGGAAAGCAGCAGGGGGAGTGAGTAGTGGTGTGATGAATTGGGAGATTGAGATTGACATATATATACTAATATATGTAAAATGGATAATAAGAACCTGCTGTATAAAAAAATAAATAAAATAAAATTCAAAAAATAAAATAAAGTGTGGGTAAGTTTTAGGCAGCTGATAAGGCATACAGGAGGACATGGAAGCAGAAAGAACAAAAGAAAGGAAGTACTTTCAAGAGGGTGGAAAAGAGAAGTTTGGCAGAATGAGCTAGTTGGGAAGAAAGAGTCCAGAAAAGTAAAACAAAGGCTTCTTTCGCAAGATCAGAGGATTTTTGACTTGTCCTAAAGAAAGTGGAATCCATGAAGGTTGTGAACAGGTAGGATAAATAATAATGTTAAATAAAAATAATTGACAGCATTTCATAAGCACTTGCTAATTGTCAGGGGCGTTTTAAGTGGTCTGTGTACATTAATCCATTTCATCCTTAGAACTGCCCTGTGAGGTGAGCTTCTTATTAATAACTGGCCTCGCAGTGATCCACAGTGTTCAAAGCACTTTCCCAGACAGTATTTAATTTTATTTTCTCAACCTTGCTTTTAGGTGGTCATTCTTGAGATTTAGGGACAGAGAAAGGACTTTGGCTAGATTTGAAGGGGTTGGAAAATAATAGTCTGCAGGCCTGCACACTACCAGATTTTGTAAATAAAGTTTTATTAGAATCCAGATGCAATCATTCTTTCGTGCACTATGTCCACTTTTGTTTTACAACCAAAGAGCTAAATACTTGTGATAAAAACTATATAACCTACAAAGCTAAAACATTTACTCCCTGGCACTTTATGTAAAAAGTTTTGTCAACTCCTGGTCTAGAAGAATGGAAAGACCTTGGACTTTGATTGCTTCCATTGTGAGCTCTACCAATAACTTCAAGCAGGTAGACTTGAGAAATCAAATATATGAATACACAAAGCTGTTGCTGTGGACTCCACACAGAAAAAGTTCATGAATAGATAACACTGAACCTCAGAAGTCTTAAAGGTTAGTTGTTTAAAACCCACAGATTCTAATTTACTCTGAATCTGATCAATTGTGTAGGATAAATTTGTAGGATAATTCTTTTTCTTTTTTCTTCTTATTAAAGCTAAAACAAGAAGAAAAGAGCAAAACAGTTGGAAGGATTTACTTATCTGTAGACTGAAGTCTCCTTAATGTGAGGTTTCAACTGTTTCGGCAGTATAACTCCTCATGAGATATTGACTAAAAACTATCAAATTTAGCCAACTTTCTGCACTGTACCATTAGTACAGCATCTTGTATGGTATCTACTGTTGAGGCATATAATGCGTAAGAATCTATTCTTTCTCCGAACTACACATTCCTTTGCAATATCTATTACTCATTCTAACGCTTAATTATATAGCCTTTGAAGTATCTCCTAGATTATCCATGTATATCTTTTCAGCTAGATTATAAATTTATTGAGGGCAAGGAAGGACCATGTCTTCTACTGCTGCTATGCATTTCCCACAGCTCCAAAGTGAATTGATTTGATTCATCGATTAACTAAATAAATAAAAGCAGAAAATTAAAATGTTAATAATAGATACAGTGTGTTTGTATGACGATTTGGCTCTCTGTTGGGTACTTTCTATGAATAAACTGTAATCTTCAGAGCAACAGGAAAGGTAGTTATTGATAGCCCTCAAGGCTAAGCAGAAGGTTCAGCTTCAAAAGTTGGGAGTAGGGCTTCCCTGGTGGTGCAGTGGTTGAGAATCTGCCTGCCAATGCAGAGGACACAGGTTCGAACCCTGGTCTGGGAAGATCCCACATGCCACGGAGCACCTGGGCCCGTGAGCCACAACTGCTGAGCCTGCGCGTCTGGAGCCTGTGCTCCGCAACAAGAGAGGCCATGACAGTGAGAGACCCGCGCACCGCAATGAAGAGTGGCCCCTGCTCGCCGCAACTAGAGAAAGCCCTCGCACAGAAACGGAGACCCAACACAGCCAAAAATAAATAAATAAAAATTTATTTAAAAAGTTGGGAGTGATCCAAATTATCACGAGCGGGATTACAATTTGACCTTCTTTTTTTCCATTTAGGTATAGAAAGGTGGTTTCCAATAACTGCACTGATGGGGTGAGAGAACAGTACACGGCCAAACCACAGAAGTGCCCAGGGAAGGCCCCGCGGGGGCTCCGGATCGTCACCGCTGATGGAAAGCTGACAGCGGAACAAGGGCACAATGTTACTCTCGTGGTACAGCTGGAAGAGGTAGGACCGAGGCCCGTCTCCCCTCTACCTTCTAGAGGCAGTGATTTTTCCTAAGGAGTCATGGCTCCCTTTACATGTCTTTTTGTCTTGGTTTACATATATATATATATATTCTTTTAATTTTAAATTTTGTTTAAAATTTTTATTCTACTTTGAGTTCCTTGGTTTATGTTGTTATCATTTCACTTTCTCTGACACATTTCTTCAATTATTTTAATTTCATTGTAAGTTGTTCTCTCTCTTACTGAATCTCTCACTTGCTGGGGATTCTCTTTGGATTTAACCTTGCCTTGTTGGCACTTTTAGCAAAATGTTTTCTCAGAATACATCAATGATATTCCTGTAATAACTTAACACACATACATACTGAACTAACCTAAAAGCTGCTAATGCTGTCTTCTTCTCTTAACCTGAAGTCTTGGCTTTTCTTTCTAAAGGCAACATGCTGGTCATACATATAGCATCAAGGCCAATCTAACATAATTGAGTATAATTTCTTTGACAATTAATAGGTTTATTTTTTAATAACACCTCAGGGATATTATAAGCATCAATTATTATTTGCCAAATTATGATTGTCTGAAATTTATGAGTATTTAGATGGTAGGATAAGATGACATTTATGTTATATATTTTAGAATGTACACAGGTGTGTTTGTCATCTTGTAAATGAGGAAGATGATCTCTAAAGGATAAACACTTTCATAAAATTATCTCAATTATTAAATCAGATATGCTACCTTCAACCATGTTTTCTGAATACCTAAAATATGGCCAACACTGTGCTAGGCCTTGTGAATACAATGGGATTTTAAAAGTTCATAATGACACCAGGATGAAGATATACAACATTGACTTACCCCATCCTCTTCTGATAGCCCAGTGGCTCTCAGCCTTTAATATGCATAGGAATTACCTGGTGGGCATGTTAAAACAGTTTCCTGGGCTCCATCGCCAAAGATTGATGCAGTAGGTTGAGGTAGGACCCAGGAGTATGCATTTCTAACAAGGTGGTAGGTTATGTATCATGCTTCAAGAAAAGAAAAAAAAGAAGGAAACAAGGGCAACATCAAGAGGGATAGACCAGTCTGAGAGGTTCTAGAGTGTGACTTGAAGGGGAAAAGATGAAGCAGTTAGGATTACATTGTCAGGTTTACTCAAAATACTTAGTATTTTAATTCCTGTAGAAAAAACTGTGAACTAAATGAGTTTGCAACCCTGGCTCTGATGATGCTGTTGCTTTTAGTTCAAGGACCACTTAGAAAACCACTACTCTAACCTAATACTCTTTTCTACTATCCCCTTAATAAGTGCCTTTTAACCATACTCAGTTTTCTAAATACTAATGGTCCCCAAAGTTCTTCAGTTGGAACTAGGAAGAGATGGGCCAATTTAGACCAATTGGAGTTGCTTGCATTTCACAGAAATAAATCTATGGGGACTTCTGCCTGAGGCTATGACAGACTAGCTTGCTGCAAACCAGATATTTATGTATTATTTAGAGCAAGAGTGAGAGAGAGAGTGGGAAAGAGAGAGGCAGACATACACACAGAAGGAGAAAGAGGATTTGAGAAGCTACAGTTGTTTTCTTGAGAGATGGAAAATTCATTGTCATGAGTCTAACATTTTATGCTGTATTTCCCCTCAAGAACCTTGCCAATTCATACATCATACTGCATAAGAGGTCAGATTTTCAGATTCCAGATTTCAGATTCTCACCTTTCAGAAGGTGAGGTGAAAAGTGTTGGCTAAACATCTGTTGGTGGACTTACAAGCCTGGGAAGATAGAGGTTGGACTTCAGGGTTACCAAGTCAGCTGGGACTGATGATGTCAAAACACAGAGAGAAGGAAAGCATAGAGAAGTCATAGAATATTCTGTGTCTTTTGTTCCCTTGAGTTATTTGACAATATCTGAGGGATGCAGACAAAATAGAAAGTAGTCAGTTAAGAGGATGTGAAGTCAAACATAGGTTTTAGAAGTATTACATTTTGGGGGAGATAAAAAATTTGAGGTTAGGGACTATCAAGAGGAAAGCCCTGGTGAACGATCCCAGACTAGGTTCTGGAGACTTCTGGAAAGCTCTATGCTAGGAGTAAGGACAAAACAGAATTAGACCAGACTCTACACCCTGAAATCACAACTGACATTTGAAGGGCTAGAGTGATTTCCCCCCATTTTAAATGTCTGTCAGAAGCTATAACAAATCCTCTTTAGGAAAATAACATACATCAGAGGCCTTCCTTGTTTTTTGCATATAAAAGTTGGGGTGTTTAAATAATTACAGATATATCAAGAAACAGGACCAAGAACAGGAACAAAGCAACAGAGGAAAGAACAGTTGCCTGAGATATGATTAATATGTTTATGAATATGGGATAAGATATAAAATTTAACCCCACAGCAGTCATCAATAGGAGGCAGTAAGCATTTGGAAGTTATAGAAAATAAAGATATCATTACTGATGTTGATCAACATCAGCATGAAGAAATGCCAGTTCACATATAAACTGGAATAGCATCCAACGGTAAGCTACTGCTACACACAGAAATGTGAATGAATCTCACAGCTGATATTGAGCTAAAGAAATCAGACTGAAAAAAATGCATATTATGTGAGCCTACTTAATTAATCTGCAAAAAATAGGCAAAACTGATTGATGGTGATAGAAATGAGAATAATTATCACCTTTGAAGGGGGAGTGGAAGGGAGCATTTTGGTGGTATTAGCAATTTTCAATTTCTTGGTGATTAATAAATACATTCACTTTGTAAAATTCAAGTTGTGTATTTAACGATATGCATATTTTTATGTGTACTATATTCCACAAAAAGCTTACTTAAAAATCACTTTAGAAATTCAAATAAAACACTTAGTATTTAGGTCATTAAACAAGAAGGGAAAAGAAAACTGTTAGGGAGGGATTCATTTTCCAGGCCAATCCTATATCCTATGATGAAGGTGAAGGTACCTTTCCCAGAGACATAAGGAACCTCATTATGATACTCAGAAGAACATCATCTTTTGAAGCAGCAGATGTCAATGCTGGAGCAGGATTCAGAATTTAGATTTTTATTTCCTTTTGAAGAATACAGTAGAGCAAGATCTGAAACAAGAAATCAGGCCTGGTCAACTCCAACCTCTGTACAGCCTCCAGGGACAGAGGCCAGGCTCTCATCTGTTCAATGTTGCTTTCCATGTAACCAAGATGATCAGGCGTCTCAAACTTGGCTGGGTGATGTGGGAACAGATTGGGGAATCTGGTTCTAAGATGTGTAAATTCATGCCTTCTGGGCACAAAAAGGGGGAAAAAATAACGAGTGAGTTCATTCCACTCGAATGGGCAAAGCTACAGCAGCAGGGATGAGTCTGCTGCCTGCACCTGTCAGAATTGGCCCCTTGATGCTCTTGCCTCCTAGTACAAAGCACCAAGCCCTAAGGACTGTCCTCATGTCAAGAGGCCCTGGAGACCTCACATTTGATTGTGAGATCCTGTGGTAATGAGTCACAAGCTCGCCTTACAGAAACAACCTCAGTTTCTCTATTAATCTCTGGATTATATACGTAGGCATGGCTGAGGTGTGTGATAAACAGTGCAGAATACAGGACAACAGAGTGTCTCAGAGAAGCTGAGGAGCACTGAAACTTGACACGATAATGGTTCAGATGTCCACCATTGACTGAGCACTAACTATGGTCCAGTCTATGAGTGGTTCATGGCTTGTCTCATTTAGATCCCACTGCAGCCCTATGCGAGTAAGTATTGATATTATCATTATCATTTTATAGATGGCACAGCCGAAGCACAGAAAGGCAGAGTAACTCACCTAAGATCACACAGCTACTAAGTCATGGAGCCAGGAGTCAAATCCAGGATCTATGTTCTCCTGCCTTTCTACTGCTTCTCTATGGCGGAAAGAACCATTTTCTGGCAAAGAACTTCATGTATTTCCTAAGGCTCTCTAGAGACGCTTGGCAGGAGTAACAAAGATCAAGGGGTAGAAAGAACAGGCAAAATTACCTACGCCCAAGCCAGTTGGCGCTGTGGCTGCTGCTGTATTCTTAGACACTCGTCAACATGTAAATCAAGAGTTTCCTCCTGGATTTTCTGAGAATATTCATGGCTTGAGATCAGCTTGTTGAAAACCATTTCAGCAAAGAGAGAGGCCAAATCCTCCTCTTTGCAATTTATTGAATGGCTACAGTGTATCTAGTGCTGTTTTATACACTCTAAAGAATGTTGGAAAACATAGGATATGAACGCAGTACTCAAGGACTTTAACATCCATGTATACCAAACTTCTCCTGAGTCTTAGGTTATGAATTAGGTTATAATATTGCTAAATTAAATTTAAAACCCAAACAAACAGAAACTCCTGACATGTGCCACTGGTAATACATGGGTTCTCTACATCCTCCTTAAAATTTGTATGAGTTCACTTCTCATTTGAATTTGTTGCTCCTGAATTTACTTTGAATAGAGTATCTGCTTTACCCCCATACCTAGTACCAGTTCTTTATAACTATAGGGATATTAATACCATGCTTCTGATTCCCCTAAAGCAGCAAGTCCTCCAGGTGCCAAAGGGACCAAGAAGTCCCTGCTACATTTTGATGTGACACCGTAGTGTGATTAGTGAGATGTGGGCAGAAGACTCTCCAAGCCAGTATAATATTTTATCATCCTGTGTCTCATGGTTTATTCCTCGTTCAAGTTTCTCCTCTAGACTTATCTTCTGTCTGCGAGGCTAGGTTGGACTGGGGACTGATGCAACCCCCCCGCCTTTCTTTGTCCCCAGTTATTTACATACAAACCCCTCCATGTAGGCTCCATCTCCTATGCGTATCAACTAAAGCATTAGAGACCTGAGGACTGAACCGTTCCACCAACTAGTTAGATATGTGTGTTTATTTGTTCTTCAACAAATATTTTTCTGAGTTCCAATTTTATGTCATGTACTTTTCATTTATGAGTAGACATATTTCAGCTTGTGGAACTA